ATTGTCGCAATGAGGAGGAAATGTTTGATTGTCGCAGTGAGGAGGAAATGTTTGATTGTGGCAATGAGGAGGAAATGTTTGATTGTCGCAATGAGGAGGAAATGTTTGATTGTCGCAATGAGGAGGAAATGTTTGATTGTCGCAATGGCGAGATGGTCCGCTCCCACCTCAGACCTCTAGATGCGCGGACATCAATCAGTGAGGTTCTGAGTTTCTTTCTAATGCAAAAATTATCTCTTTGATTTTTAGTACTTCCATTTGGTGAGCAACAAGTAAGTTTATGGATGACTGTGTGTGGGAACAGTGTTTCTGGAATACGGGCGCACGTTAAAGGTCCCTCGGGGGTCCTATAATCGATCAAATTAGGCTTTAAAATTAATATCAAAGTTAATTCCTACCAAACTGAACATGCTGAATGTGTCCCGCGCCCACAGGACCTTGTGCGGGGCCGGCTCGTGGCTCTAAGACGTGGGCGGGCACAATCCACCTAAAACTGGTGGGAGATAGTCAAGGGCAAGGTCAATGAGATATGTTCTTCATCCTTCCTGTTGGGAGAAACTCTACAAGAAGTCTACGCTTTGTGTCAGTGACGCCCTTGTCAGTGACGCCCTTGTCAGTGACGCCCTTGTCAGTGACGCCCTTGTGGATGAACATACACGTCCTTACCAAGTAACATTTCTACTTCTGTGTGTCACCTGAGCTTAGGTACAACACAGAGGCTTTCTGCTGCACACTACAAAGGGACTTTAGGAAACGACATTTGACAGTGCTAGACTTTGGAAGGGTCGATGATCGATTGAGAATTGATTTTATTTTGCTTGAAGAAACGGTCAACAATTTGATTAGCTAACTGCCACAGGCCTCCTTTGCAGCAATTTCGTTGGTGTGGAGATGTCTGCCGTCTTTAGGAACTTTGTTCCTCAGTGATCAGACTCTTTGATGGAACATTTGTACTGTCTTGAATTTCCCCGATGGCGGCTTTCAAAACGTGTCTAGAGCTTGCTGGGCTGCTATGGCGGTGTACTTTTGTGTTAGAGGATCCCAATACACAGCACAACGCGTTGTTAGATCCCAATATACAGCACAACGCGTTGTTAGATCCCAATATACAGCACAACGCGTTGTTAGATCCCAATACACAGCACAACGCGTTGTTAGATCCCAATACACAGCACAACGCGTCGTTAGATCCCAATACACAGCACAACGCGTCGTTAGATCCCAATATACAGCACAACGCGTCGTTAGATCCCAATATACAGCACAACGCGTTGTTAGATCCCAATATACAGCACAACGCGTCGTTAGATCCCAATATACAGCACAACGCGTTGTTAGATCCCAATACAAAAGTGTAAAAAGAAGAGAAAGGTTTCTCTCGTTGCTCTACATTCAGGACACCACACGCCTCGTGGGTTGTACTATCGTCCCAGTGCTCATACAGACGATCAAATTACTTCAAGACAAAGCTGGACC